TATAATAACAAATTCAACATGCTAGCATTGTTTAATTGTATAGCCTATCGTATTCTTAAGTACGAGTAGGAATGTTGCGTGCTCGAAAACCGGACGAGTAATCGTGGGAAAAGAAATAAACGTTTACATGATTTTCCCTAGAACGACAGATGGAATGAACATAATTCATCCCGATGCAACCCTCTTAATTTGTACCGTTAATCGTACTGGACTCGTTCAGACCTTTTGTGGGAAACCGATAATAGGGCAAACTTTACGATACAAAGGAAAGCTTGATTACTCTGCCCATTTTTATTTACACCAATTCTTTAAACTGTGTTTCTGTAAGCTATGAAAGATCTTCGAGTTTCTATATCGAAATCGTTTTATGTAACAGAAAATCCATTTGTTGCATTCACTCTAATCCGTCGTTGCGGATGTTATTCGAAAAGAGCATTCAAGAGAATAGGAGGTGCAGCGAAGGAAGAAATTGGGGGCACGTGCCGTGCATATGCACCGTGTAAGGGTTCACCGCTGGGGTTAACCGCCTCTGCGACATTTGGCCCGGCAGTGATAACGTATAATTACAGATTTCTGGTGTATTATTACCGGACCGCAAAATTATATTATTTAATACGACAATATGTTCCGTTGGGAGCTCGTGTCACGTGAATTTTATTTCATTGTAACTTCCTTGAACTTGCTTCTCAACTCGAGTTTCGTTTACCTTGTTTCATCTTATTTCATTCTTCCTTCTACGTCGTCAACTTCTATTCCTTCAGCATTGATTATTTTCATTCAATTCGAGCTTCTTTTCATCCAACGATTGTCTCTCATGGATTCATTTAAAAATTCTTTCAATCTTCTATATCTTCAGTTCCAGTTTTTCCAATTCCTCGACGTTGAACTCTGTAAGATATTCACATGAGACTTAGGAATTCTATTCGCGAGTCTATTCATTTGGCATTATATTTTTTCACCAAGAGCCAGGGTTCCTTATCAGATCGATGAAGAGGCGTAACCAGCAGCCAGGCAACCGGGGGTGGACGAGCACCACCGCCACCGAAGCCCGGCGAATAGGAATCCAGTTTATACGCTTCAACCCTCTGTAAATGGCTTCCGCCTTTCGGTTCGGAGGTGAACCAGCGTTGGATCACAGTTCCGTTTCACCTCTTCGACAGTCCACCCTCCGTTTAGAAGCACAGTGCCATTTTCCACTACAGCAATCTTTAACCGAGTATTTAATCATTTTATTAAACAAATCGTGCGTGCCATGAGTTTATCAATTATCGCTTGCATAAAACCCTCTTCATCAACTAATCGTGGAAGGTGTTGCCTTAAATAATTGATTTAAGTGGAGAACAAGTTATCCGAACGAAAGAAATGAAGAATTTATTCGATGAAGAATGAAGAAGTTCGACGAATTGTTTGAGACCGGTGGAGGAATTTTGATGTAGAGATTATGATTGTTCAGGGAGGACTCTGATAAGTGTCTGAACAAACCTGGACACGTGTCCTGGCCCTCCTGCTGACACGTGCCCCTGTTTAGAAGTATTTTCGTAGCACGCGTCGAGGCCACGTGTCGCCTCGATGCTATCAGAATCCGTAGAACGTGATTCAGACTGGTTGCACAGGAATCTCGTCGAGATTTCAACTAAACGTTCGCCTAATCTCGAAGAGAGAAGAATCAAAGTTCTTTAAGAGAAATAATTATTTTCCAATCGGATTTCATTTATTAAACGAAGGATTATGAGAAGCCAAGTGCGCTTTTCTGATGCGATTCAGAAATAATTCAATTATACAGAAATTTGAAGAGATTCAGAAATGGAAATTAGAGACGGGCTGAATTTTTCAACAATGAGATAAACCAGGCGAATATCATTTGAACTAGTCAACGAATCTAGTCACTGTTATTATTTATAATTTCTACTTAAGAAGCGGGCAAAGAATTTGTCAAGATGTATTCTATGGACAATCTCGAGCTAGATATGATGAACCGGCAGTACATGTACGAGGCGCACAGTTTTCTTGGCAATCCAGCGATCTCGGCATTGCCATCGCATTGCGGTGCAGCCACCGCAGCTACTCTTCCTTCGATCCCTTCACAACTGGCCACGCATCCTCCGGGGAGCACCGGTAGCACCAGTGGAAGCGAGATTTACCTGTATGATGAGAATAGCAGCGACAGCGAGAGTGCTTATGGCAGTGATCAGGAGAATCACGCCAGGGAGTGAGTATTTTAATTATCTTTCAGTGGCAGACGAATTTCATGACAAACCTTTACAATTTCTTAAAGCCTCTCATCAATATTTCAACGAGAGAACAAATTTTAATACCAAAATGAATAGAGAAGAATTAAATAATAAGAGAGTTACTTCGATTAAATTCTGTATTGTGTTCACATCAAATGTGCCCATAATTATGAAAGTGGTCTAAGTCAAAATTAAAAAAAAAATGAATCAAACGACAAAATCATGTCGTGTGAAATAAGTGATAAATTCATTTTTTTTTTTAATTTTGACTTAGACCACTTTCATAATTATGGGCACAAATGATAATTAGAATTCCTATTTGAGACTTATTCTAATCGACACCATAAACGTTTTAAGACTCTGCGGTCTATGAATTCCTATCAGAAATGATCGTGACAATTTGCAGACGTCAGAGCAGTAGAAGAAACGGTGGCTCGGTTAAAAGTCCGCGACAAGCGGTGCAGCAGAGGCAAGCCGCGAATATGAGGGAGAGGCGACGTATGCAGAACATAAACGACGCGTTCGAAGGCCTCAGGGCGCACATACCTACTCTTCCTTACGAGAAGAGGCTTTCAAAAGTGGACACGTTGAAACTGGCGATCGGATATATTAAGTTCCTCAACGAATTGGTCAGAGCAGACAAGGGCAACGATCCTTTATCTGGAAACGGTGGCTTGTCGCGGTGCTCCGGACGCGACGACACCAAGAAGGTCATAGTTCGTGGTGAGGCCTATACTAATCCTCACGTTTCAATTATTTTTCATTGATTTAAGAATTGCAAAAAATATTTCGTCTGACAATTTCAATGAACAATTATTTAACGTAATTGTGCTCGAGGTATTTATACTAAACGGGTAAATTTCAGGCAGCGAGGGGAACCCTTTCATTTTCCATTCCCTGTCCTGGTCGAGGAAGTCGGACATATCACCGAACGGGACGATGTACGCGAAAGTGTGGACGCCGGAGGATCCCCGGACCTCGAAGAACGGGTCCAGCTTCGAGTAAAGTGCTCAGATCCTGAATCGTGTTATTTAGTATTTAAGAAGCGAACACAGTTTCTAGTCATTTTTCAATTGTCAATCATCCTAAACGAGAGTTCCCTTCATTTCTCTAGTCCGCTAAGCTATTTAATTTACATATACATTTGTCCTACGAACGGATAGTATTACGTGGTGTTTAATATAATTCCTGTGGAACGTGAGTTCTATATTATTTACGTCCGATCGAAACTCCGTTGGTTTCTAAAAATTCTTTTGATAAGATTGTTACGATTGTACATATAGAACGCGCAAAGTATAATGTATAATGTAAGTAGATATCGTTTGTACGTGAAACAGACCGTCCTGGTCAAGCCAAATAAACTAGTATCTTTACGTTTCAAATGGTATTTCATTTTACTTTCACCCCTTCTGCAATGCTTTTTCCCTTCGTTACGATTGCAAATGTACTTTCCGATGGGTAAGTATAGTTGCTACGAGGATCGATACTTTAACTCATTTAAGTTCAACAAGCAACTTCTTCCTGTGCATAGTTTTTAAAAACCTCTTCCATAATTCTTGCACAATAACGTTGCTGTTAGTTTCATTCATGCTTTATTTTTATTCGATATAAAACAGAAATATCTTTTAATGGCTCTTCCTTCTTAAAGAAATTCTATATTGAAATTTCTATCAAATTCAATTTCTGTGCAAATGAAAGAGTTTTCACTGCCAGTGGAAGATTGAATGCTGCTTGTACGATGTATGGCGGCGGGTTGAGAGTCTGTCTGAACTTTTTGGTAGAGACAGGGATGGAAGATCGTGGGCGGTACGTCGATATTGCGGCGTCGCGACGTCCTGCGACTGTAATGGCGTCGACGGCTGCGAATCTTCCCACGACACCGCGCCTGCGATCCTCGCACGTTCTTCTTCCCTCCTCATCGTCTCCGTCCTCCAGCTGAAATAGTTGTTACGTTAATCAGCAATCCTCCTCCCACAAATAACAATCATATCAAGGACATTTAAATTTTCTTCTCCTTCGCTTTTCCAGTTAAAGACTGTATTCCTTGGATTCTCTTCGGGGTATGAATTCCTGGTGAATGAATCTTGTTCCAGTCACATAATCGTCCTATACTGCGTTTCAAAGTGCTTCACATTTTTTCTCAATACTTCTGTCAACAGATACAATTATCAACTCCTTATCAGTGGATACACAATGTACGACACGGTGTCGATCGAGAAAAATTGATGCATTGAACGTGGAACGATAAGGACAGGTGTACCGACACACCTGTCCCAATCTTAACTTGATAACAATCGTTCCCCTCATCGAACGCATTTTATACCCTGCCGATTTTTTTGTAAATAATTTTCTGGAAACGCGAGGGAAGAAGATCCGGGTGTTCTGTAACCCGCACGGTTCTCTATCAGCTGTGAAAACAGCATTGTTTATAGACACCGTGGCACAATGAGGTGTAATTGAATCCATATTCCGACCCCGTTGTACGTATCTGTGTATCGAGGAGGAACGCCCCCCCCCTGTCCTTTGGGGTGGTCGCACTTAACGGTTCGGAAATCGAGGGTGCCGCGTCGATTTGTGGACAATTAGGGACGATAGTATCCCCCGGGACGAATCCAACCGGTTACATCTTCCGTTTCTCCTTAACGTCCTTCCTATCCCGTCGCAATTCTTCAGAGTTTAAGATATTCCATGATTATTCTTACAATTATTATCCTTATAACATTAAATGTATTCCCAATCAATATTATAGTAAAACTAGCATAAATAGACTATCGGATAAATTGTTAATGATTCTACATGAACTGGCGAACATCTTTGGTACAAATGAATATTTTTCAGTTTTAAAATTGTCCTTAGTCATTCAGATAGCAGAGACGTTCGATGCTACGGTATTACCACGTGGAACGTGAATTAATACTTTATTTGTGTGTCACTCCAGCTGCGAGGATCAACACAAGTGCTGGGGCACCCCTCGTGACAAGAGAGGGTGCCTCTTAATGCGGATACGATGCGATACGCGGAACGCCGCGATTCTCTATGGTTTGCTAATTTTCACGGGATCACAGCACCGTGACGCTCGAGCCGATTAGTTCAACCTGGACTATTGAACTTTCACGCCTCCCCTTTACCGCCCTCTTCGCGAACACCGCACGTGTGCTGAATATCTATATTGAGCATCGTCAAAAAATCAGTCGAAAGTTCTTCATAACAGATAGATAAGAATGATCATTGCAAACAGTCGTGTACTGATTTAGAAATGAAACGATTCCAAACTCAGTTGTTTTTTAGCAGAGATCTTACGGCTCATACAATTTTAAGGATGTATTGGCTATAAAGTCAATCCCAAAAGTTTATGCACTTTAGAAACGCATTTTTTAAAAAGAAATCAGACGTCGGAAGAACATTTCTAATAATAA